CCAATCGGATAGCGTTCCGTTGACCCTAACTCTCTGTCTGCGGTCACATAAGAAATTTACTATCCACTCATGTACAGTACGTATTATTCTGAAGCTCGTGAGCTTCTGCATAAGACCTACGTGTGAAACCTTGTCAAACGCTTTGCTGAAATCTATGAATATCACGTCGACAGACAGACCGTTATCTAGGGCTGCTGTCCAATCCTCCCTCGCAATAAGCAAGTTAGTCAAGCATGAACGCTTGTTACGAAATCCGTGTTGCTCAGGAGCTAACAGATTGTGTAAATCTATGTGGCTTAGCAACCTAACCCGAATTATTTTTTCGAGTAACTTAACGACTATGCTAGTTAGACTGACAGGCCGGTAGTTAGATGCTATCTGTCGCTGACCGTCCTTAAATATAGGACTAACTATAGCGTCCTTCCAATCTCTAGGGAGTTGAGCGAGTGAGAGGGACATGTTGAAGAGTGTCGCGAGCGGTTTTGAAATAATGTCCGCAAGAGATGACAGCAACCGTGGATGTAACCCGTCAGGGCCCGGTATCTTACCAGGTTTGAGGTTAGTTATCAACGGAAGGACAGTTTCCTCAGTCACCTGTACAGATTCAGTGATTGGTATCTCTGTGTGAGTGGGACAAGTATTTGTTACAATAAACGTAGAGAAGACTTCGCTAAAGTAGTCTGAAAAAGTCTCAGCTTTTGCTTGACCTGATTCATCTAGTAATTCTGAATTGTCGTGTAACAGTAACGGGGGAATACTATCACTACGTTTCATTTGCCGTTTAACATACAAAAACAATCGTTTCGGACAAGTACGGCTATCATATACTAACTGTCGTTCGTAAGTGGTACGAGATTTGGCTATGGTTTTCTTACAGATATTACGGTATTTTTGGTACTCACGCTTAAATGATGCATGACCTGTCAACAAGAATAAGTCCCAGAAATGTTTCCTACGCTTTAACAGCTTCCGGGTTTCCTTATTAATCCATGGAGGGCAATGTGATAGCTTACGTGCTGACCATGGGGTAAACGGCGACGTTACGGACTCGAATGTAGCCTTAAACTTATTCCATTCATCTTCAATCAATCCATGATATGTCATGATATAACTGCCTAATCTATGAGATCTTACGTGGAAGTCACACCATCGACTACGCCAACTCACTGTATCGTATCAATTACCAATACATGATGTAGAACAAAGTTAAGCTAGAGAAAGAACAATGTATTTAATATGAATAGAAGATACAAGATAACATTCAGCAGGGACCACGCCTGCATGGCCGAGCCATGCCATTCGATCAACTCTAAATCATTCAATTCATTATTCGCGCCTTCTTCATCGTTAGGTATTTCTTCGCGTTAAATATTGAATACCTATTTTCCGAGTAATCTCGTATTCAGCTTTGAGGATAGTGTGGTTATGGTCCAGTGCCATTACAGATTACCTATTGACACGAAACATTCATTGATTTGCCGATGCTTCAGAATCTACATATGATGTTTTGAAATATGTGTAGTTGGAACCAGAATAAGGTAGCAAATTTACTTTTAAAAAGAGGTTGTGAATAGCACTTCAACCTCTCGAGAACCAGACATTGAGTCAGTGTATGGGGTCGCATTATTAAGTCAATAAGAAGGATTCTACCATCACTACTGTTTCAGAAGTTATTGACGAACTAGTCTTTGGATACGTTTTGTAATAGAGGCTGGAGAAATACTGAAAAATCGACCGCTAGCAAAACTAATTAATGACTGTGAATACCTGGATGTACTTACACTAAAAAAGTTATCGTTAGTTTACAGAGGTGTATCATTTGCAGATGCGCAAGTGAGTAAAAGGTGCTTATGTAATAGGAAATGGAAGGAAGCACAACAATCAGCCAACCTATTTTGGAACAGATGATTACGGGAATACTTACAAACCCTTCTGGCGAGATCCAAGTGGTTAGGCATGATAAGGAATATTCAATCGGGAGACTTAGTGTTGGTAAACAATACTGGCTCACCGAGAAATCTGTGGCCGAAAGCCATAGTTAGATAGGACAATTATTATTACTATTATTTGAACACATAAATATTGGTACAAGAGTGCGCCGAATATATATGCGCCACACAAAACAATGAGAATTTAAAGAGAAGGAAAAAGAAAAAAGGTAAGGAGGGTAAAAAAAGAATAATAACGAAGAGATTGGTGTAAGGTAGTGTAATAATAATAGAGGTAATAATGGGTGAACGGAAAGGTACAATCACAAGAAATCTTTCAGCTAAGGAAGATACAACCACTTTTTTAATGAAGAAAGTAAAAGGAGGTTACAGAAGGATCGCCACTGGCTTCCATTCTCAACCATATCTCATAACGTCTCAAGCCACTGTGTAGAACCATCTCTCGGCCCCCAACCAGGGAGTCGTGAAGGACTAACACAAGCCAGTCCTTTACAGCTTTCTTTCGTCCCATGACACCATGTCATACACTGACCACCCCTCCGCTTCTTCCAACCAGTCTGGGACGACATTCGTAGAACATGTCCAAGCCACCGAAGTTGGTGTTTCATGATGGTGACATCGATTGCATTATCATCTCTGTGCCCGAAAACACGATGCCGAACCTCTGCATTACTGACATGGTGTTGCCACTGGATGTCAGAAATCCTTCGGAGACAACGGTGATTGAACACAGAGAGTCGTCTAGCATCATCAACTCGGAGAGGCCAGGTTTCACAAGCATAGAGCAGAACTGCTCTCACCGACGCATTGTAGATCCGGCCTTTAACAGCCAGACTAACATCACGAAGGCGCCAAAGATGGCCCAGATTGGCAGAAGCCGCTCTGGCTTTCACTATACATGCATTGATCTCACCACTCACGCCAACACCCGGATAAAAGAACTTCTCAATTAATTCTATCTGTTCACCATCCGGAGTAAATACATGATTAGAATCCTGCCAGTCTCGTAAAAGTACTCTGCACTTGGAAGGTGCGAAGTACGTGCCACATCTACGGACACTAATTTCCAACTGATTAAGTGCGGATTGCATGGCTTGGGTATCATCGTACAGTAAGACAATATCATCCGCATACTCAAGGTCGAGAAATCTTTCTCCAGGCAACAGATCCACACCACCACTACCTGCATCCATCAGAGCTGTTTCCAGAATGCCATCAATGGCAAAGTTGAAGAGGAATGGTGAGATTGGGTAACCCTGTCTAATCCCACTGTTTGAATGGGACAGTGGAAAGAGGTGGTTGTATGCCCTCACTCTACCTGAGGTATTTGTATATAGGACTTTTAGGATGTTAGTAAACTCAGGCACATCCTTCTTTAATGGACAATCTCAGATAACAGTCCTTTCCGATGAGTTGAATGCAACCCTAATGTCAATAAACACTACGATTGTTGGCCTGTGCTAAGTACGATGGTATTCTAACATTTAGTGGAGGGTGGGGACATGATCAGTACGTCATCTACCAGAACGAAACCCAGTCTATTCCTCGCGAGTCAATCTTTCTCGGGTTTTGAACAGCCTACGAAGTATGAAGGAAGTCAATAGCTTGGACGCAATCGGAAGTAGATTTATTCCTCGATAGTTGTTACAGGAACGACGTGAACCCTTTTTAGAGATAGGGACAACTATCGACTCATTTCATGACGTTGATACACTGTCTAGCTCCCAGCCAGCACATACGGAACCTGTGTATACTGGAAGAGACGATTATTTGAGCGCGACTGTAACGAAGCCTGGGCGTGATGTTTTCTTGGAGAGGGGAGTGTTTGTTATGTTCATAACTAACCAATCAAGTCGTCGTTTAAGCACTCACCACCTTGATCTGTTTTGATGTGTCTGTAGACTATCTCTGTCACATGTGACCTACCAATTGAGAGACATTATAATCCTATTATATTAATGTAACTCATAATTTTATTCATTTCGACAAGACACCCAATACTGGTCGGTATGCTTGTGCATTTCACTTAATGACTGTAATTTCGTTAGTTATTGTACTAATCTAATTGTTTTTACATTCAGAAACAGATAAATTTTAAAGCCAAGCTGTTCTTGTTCTGACTATAGCTTTCACATGGACTCTCCGATCGCCAGTATAGCGTTTACGGTTCTAGTAGTATAACTGTAGGACAAATTAAATCCTACACGGTCATAAAGATACTGATACATAATCGATGAAGAACATTGAGCCATCCACTCTCCAGACACACAGTGACTTAAATGTCATTCCTAGCCATAACCTAAAAACTATTTCTTACTACCTTGCAATAATCTCAAAAGCTAAATAACCATATGGTCAATATGTGGAGCCCCTAGCCATGTTGATGCTAAAAGCTTTTTGACCTTTGATGCAGTATCCGTTCGTCCTAAACATCGATGTGAGATACAAGCACTTGGTCCCTGCCTGAAAGAAAGTAGTAAGCTGTCGGAAAAGGTTCAAGAACTACACCTAAGCTGATTATTGAAATTGCATAGCTCCTGTATAATGACAGTCTGGGTGAGCTTAACCTATCTCTTTTGTAATAGTGAATGATCATAAATCACTTAAACACAGCTTAAAATTACTTGACAAATGATTCTCGCTTGATACATCTTCATTTTTGCCTTTCAAAATTGAGAATTTCCACAAGCCCAGACCAAATTACTGGTCGGATGACAACTGACTTTCCCACAAAACAAACAACGAATAGAACTCATAACACTTATATGTGATTGCAGCTTCATCTGCTGATGCACTGAAAAAAAGCTGGATCAGCTGAAAACCCACTTTTGTCAGGACAGACACAAACCACCCAACCTTTTGTACTTTCCAAAGTGAAACTAACTATTATTGCTTGAATAGTTCTGCCATTCAGTTTCAAAAAACAAAGATGAGATCCTTCTCTACCGTCATCAGAAATGCTGTGTAACCATCTAGGGGCAGACTTCAGAGTTTGATGTTTCAAGTTTCACTTTCCTATACTCGTGTTCTCGTAGGGCGCGCAATACATCCAAATGCGTTACTATAATTGGTGTTATTAAGAATGGAGTCAACTTCCAGAATACTCAGAAGTCAGCTTGTCTCAAATCTCATTGATATTTTTGTTTGTTCACGCCCTATGTTTTCTTTTTGAGCATGCCATGCAATTTGAGACCGGAGTTTGTGCATGTGAAAAGCATACCGTTGTGTCTCCTAAAGAGGAGGCGAATTATGAATGTGGAGTCGGTCACTTTCCATCATCATCTTCGACAGATAAAAATCCACCTCCCATCCCACCAAAAGCTTTTAAACAAATCCCTCCTCTTCCTCCAAAACCCACATCTCGTCCACTTCGACAAATAAAACATAGGTGTGTAAAATGTGAACCAATTATCAACTTGGAAAACCCTAATTTTTCGCCCATCGGTCGCTTTCCAGACCTTTGTGCGGTATGCAGGCGGAACGGTTTGCATCCACACTCTACATGTGACGTTGAGTCAATCGATAAACCTCAGAAACATCCAATTGATTCTCTACCGGATCACGAGGATGTAAACTACAAAAAATGCATTGAATGCCCTCAAACACCTAACAGTAACAGTATGACGTTTCAGTACTCGTCTCAACAAAAGAGCGAAACAAGAAGACCAGGTAAAATTTCATCTAACGGGAATGGTAATTCCTGTTTGTTTACGTTCGATAAAAATATTTCTGATGCAAAAATCACACAGCCATCCATTTGCAAACGGTTTACAAAACGACATATTTGTCAGGGAGTCTTGAAACATCAAGGAGTTAATTTATGCGAGCTCGGAAGGGATTCGAGCTCAACATCTGACTTACCAGCATCAAACTGTTCGTGCTCTGCAAAAATATGGGGTCCTAATGGTGGTAATAAACTAGACTCTAGCTATGCATCGAACCAAGGATGCTTTTCCTCAGAATATCGTGGTCTCAATTTAATTTCAGATCATCCTGCTAGCCGAAAGATTTCTCGGTATCACCAGGAGCAAGGTGATACAAATAAAACAAGGTGTGGCAGTTTACAATGGATATCTGACACTTTCCAACGTATATTTCATGCTTCAAAGAGCTTCAAATCTTCTAAAACAAATTTTCTCCACCCACCAGATGATTCCGTTGTAAATGTGAAAAATTTACCTCATCTAAATGAAGATAGATTTTGTAGGCGACTGAAACCGCTTGTTCATAAAAGAGATCGCGAATGGAAGACGGATATTTTCGATCAGAAGTTTGGGGGTCGTTTCGTACAACAGAAACGTTCTTTCAGCTATAATAGTTCTTTTATTGAAGGAGTCAGATTTAGTTCATATAATCAGAATAGCTGTGAATCTAATGCAACTCTGAATCCCCGTGTTGACCATCATTCACTTCCACCGAGATCAGAAAACAGTCGCAGTTCCATTATTAAATGTAGGAATTCGCTTTTCAGTCCAGATACAACAAAAAGACATTTCGAGCGCCTTGATAGTATAAGCCCTTCAAACGGTCGATTAAAACAGGTACATGTATCCAAAACTATAGGAGCTTCCCAGTCCAGATACCAGACTTCAAACCATCCAAATATGTGTATAAACCATAAAAGACCAGAGTCTGCCCTCGCAATGATTTGTGCTTGTTCCCCTTATGTATCCAGTCACGTAAACGTAAGTATTTATCTCCATATTTTGGCTTTTTTTCATGAACGGTTCTTATAGTCCACCAAAGAGAGTATTTAATATTCCGAGGAAAAAATATGTATGGTTCACGGTAGTTTATTCGCTGGTATTTTGTAGCGGTTATTTCACTGCTGAAAATGTTTTTAAGTGTTAGTGTAACTTTTGTGAAGTATGAGTTTATGAGCCTAGTTGTCGGTCATATTGTGAGGGTCACTAATACTGCCCAGATCCACGAACCTTGGTAGGTAGGTAGGTAGTGGTTGGGATCTTTGACCTGGTTCGAGAATAATCACTAAGTTCCTGCTACTCATCCGTGCTATTACAAGCAACTTACTCTGAATTGACTTCAAATTTACCTGGAGTCTGACAAAAACTTGGCTTCATTTTCTGTTCAGTTATTCCTTCACCCTACAGTTTAGAATTAAATTAGTCACAGGTTACGTCTAGGACTCCAACCATAGAGTCGTAAAGGACCAACAGAAACCAGTCCTGTACAGCTTTGTTTCATAACACGATACCATGTCATACACCAAGCACCTCTCCGCTTTATCCAACGAGTACCAGCCTCGGCAAACAATGCACGACGTGAACTTCTCTGGGATGACATTCGTAGAACATATCTAAGCCACCGAAGTTGATATTTCAAGATAATGACACCAAGCGAATCAGCGTCGCTGTGCCCGAACATTGTGTGTTCAGATACAGAGACGATACTTCACACAAATCAAATAAAATGACAATTAGTACTAGGAAGGTATTATATTACCAGTCTCAGTCATGGTTTGAATGTATTTGATCTATTTGATCACAAATGCGGTAGCTTCTTTACGCTCGACAATATAGTTTATTACTATTAATTAGTTTTCAGATGGTTTCAGATAGTATCCAGCAATAAAAGCGCTACCAACCTTTATTTCGCCTAGTGTTATGTAAATTAACAGTGGATGCAGTTGTGTACAGAGTATTAGATAATCACACATTTAACATCAGAAGAATCTAAGAATCAGTCATCAGCAGTCTAGGTACTTCACACAATTGTCGAATTACTAGTTTGGTATGGATAGATGTCATAATAACTAGTAAATTGACACGTGGTTGCACACACACCTTGGTAAATAGATTTGAGTTGCAATCTATGTGCTTAACTTCAAGTTCTTCGGTCACAAATCTGTTTAAAGTACTTGATATCCTCAACTTTCTGCACAATACATTAATGTATATGTAAATGGCCCGTTTTAGCCACTTCCAAGTAACAATTCAAACATATGACCTTTTAATGATTTATGAATAATTGGGAAAATTATTTGTCATAAAAGCGTTCTTAATCCTGACTAGGACCAACATGGCAACTTCTATTTCTCACTCCCAATCGTTGCTGCTACTTTTCTATGGTGGTTTGGTTTAGCTATCTTAATAACCCAGTCGAAATATTTTTTCTAGAACACTTTTCAGGAAACGTGATCAATTCTTTGCTGATGGCTAAACCAACTACTCTTTAATTTAGTAGTCTCACCTGTACTACTCAGTATGTTGGTGGCAATGCTGATTCAATAGTTTAGGGACCCATTATTGTTGTCTCAGTAAATTTAGTTCACAGTTTAGTGTGTAAATATCGATAGTTACCGAGTTACATTCAATAATATCAGGTACACTTAGTATGTGATCATTAGTATTATCTTTAATAACATGCCCGATAGTCAAGCTTCTTAATTACATTTGTGTTACATCTTTTCTTACTACATGCGTCTCTTTTATTAATCACTCAACTGTGTTTTTATCTACCAATAACAGCCCCTTGACTCTACTAGAGAATGCTTTTCTTGTATGGGGAATCATTCATCATCTACAAAAGTTCCAGCTTGTGGCTGTCCCAACCACAAAAACCATAGGTGTTGGTTAAACAGTTCAAATTGTTCGGGTATATCGAAACCCCACATCGGGAAAGAACAAAACAACGACGAAGTTACTACTACTCGGTTCAATGAGGGGATCCTTCCATTAAACCCTGATGTCTTACTGGTTAAAGAACATGAAAATAACTCTAACTGTGATACTACGAATTCAGTTACTTCTCACCTTCCCTGTGAGATTCCTGTCGATTCCAACAAAAAAGTCTTAAACTGCACTGAAGGTATCGAATTTGGGGCACATCCAACTACTATAATTGACAAGAACGGTCAAATTCACCACGTCCATCACATACACCATGTCCATCATGTTCATCACCACCATCATCACCACGAATGTGCAGACGGTGTCTCCAATGATATTGCATCCTGTCCTCTTAGTCCAGTTACCAGTCCAGTTGTCTGTGACAGACAACGTCCACCGACAACAATTGCATCTGCCTTGGAAACGTGCACCGTAGAGGAACCAATAGTCAGTTCTCCATCTTCCTGTCAGAATCAGCAGGTTGGCGTTGCGGAACAAGTTGTTGTAAGTAAATTTGTAGTAGTCATCTGTTCATTGAAAATTATTTTTCTGTAAACGTCTTTCATGGAGTCACCCTCGTAAATTTGGAATTAATTTTATTATCTCTTCCCTTCTGAAAGTTAAATATATGTATATTTCATAAAACAGTTCCTGATGTATGTATAATTAATGAATTTTAAAATATTTAGTTCGCTGTGTAACAATTTATTAGTAGATTATTGAAGCTCAGATATTTACTCCGATATTATTTTAGTAGTAAAAACTAAGAATTAGTCTAAATTTGAGGATGTGCATGTAGATAACGGATTATAAGAGTTAACATCAAGGATTGCCATTGAGCTAAACATCAAAAACCATGGAAGGCGGAACTTCTGTTTTGCTTGTACTTACGGTTTGCCAGATCGCTACAAGTCCTGACATATCTGGGTTCAGTTCTCTACTGGTCATCATGACTCCTTTGGAAGTTTCAAAATAAGGCGAAAAACCATCCAATCCTTCCTAGTTTTTTAGCTAAATCTAATAGACAATAAAATTGCCTCTGAGAAATTCCAAGTATATATTTATTATATATATGCAACAATTATTATTATTATTATTATTATTATTATTATTATTATTATTATTATTATTATTATTTGTATCATTATTATTAGTCGATATAAAAATAGTAGTACTAGTAGTTGTAACAAAGCTAATATTGGTAATATTCACTATACGTGAATTGATCTCACCACTCACGCCAACACCAGCCCTTACGCAGCTACCCAGGTACACAAACTATTTTACAACTATCTGCCCACTATCCAGGGTGAGTTCAAGACCAGAGTCCTGCCAGTCTTGTAAAAGTACTCTGCACTTGGAAGGTGCGAAGTACGTGCCATATCTACGGACACTAATTTCCAACTGATTAAGTGCGGATTGCATGGCTTGGGTATCATCGTACAGTAAGACAATATCATCCGCATACTCAAGGTCGAGAAATCTTTCTCCAGGCAACAGATCCACACCACCACTACCTGCATCCATCAGAGCTGTTTCCAGAATGTCATCAATGGCAAAGTTGAAGAGGAATGGTGAGATTGGGTAACCCTGTCTAATCCCACTGTTTGAATGGGACAGTGGAAAGAGGTGGTTGTATGCCCTCACTCTACCTGAGGTATTTGTATATAGGACTTTTAGGATGTTAGTAAACTCAGGCACATCCTTCTTTAATGGACAATCTCAGATAACAGTCCTTTCCAATGAGTTGAATGCAACCCTAATGTCAATAAACACTACGATTGTTGGCCTGTGCTAAGTACGATGGTATTCTAACATTTAGTGGAGGGTGGGGACATGATCAGTACGTCATCTACCAGAACGAAACCCAGTCTATTCCTCGCGAGTCAATCTTTCTCGGGTTTTGAACAGCCTACGAAGTATGAAGGAAGCCAATAGCTTGGACGCAATCGGAAGTAGATTTATTCCTCGATAGTTGTTACAGGAACGACGTGAACCCTTTTTAAAGATAGGGACAACTATCGACTCATTTCATGACGTTGGTACACTCTCTAACACCCAAACCCTTGTAAACAACGTCGTCAGTTCCTTAGTCAGAAAGTCACCACCATCTTTAAAAAGAGCCGGAGGTAAGTCATCTGGGCCAGGTGATTTGTAGCGCTTCAAGAGTTGGAGTTGCTTGCGAGCTTCCGCCTCATTTGGCGGATCAATCGTCACCGGCCATGGAGGGCAGGACAGTCTGACCGATGTTGCTGGAGCAGCAGGCCAGTTGAACTGCCCTTCGAAGAATTCTGCCCACCATCCAAGACGTCGATGGATGTAAGTGATTGGCATCCCGTCATCCTCACAGATTGTTTCACTCACACCAGACTTCTTGCTGCCAGTGGCTCGGATGAGTTGGAAGAGCTTCCGGTAATTACCAGATGCAGCTGCTGCAAATGATTAACTCTCTATATCTATGGAAACTACATTTCTTGCTCCGAATAACAATCAAATAGAACTTTTAGGATGTTAGTAAACTCAGGCACATCCTTCTTTAATAGACAATCTCAGATAACAGTCCTGTCCAATGAGTTGAATGCAACCCTAATGTCAATAAACACTACGATTGTTGGCCTGTGCTAAGTACGATGGTATTCTAACATTTAGTGGAGGGTGGGGACATGATCAGTAAATCATCGACCAGAACAAATACCAGCCCTTGAGGAGAAGGTTGAATATTCCATTTTCTATGCAAGGCTTTATTACTATATGCTAACTAGTTCTTTTTCGAACAATCAGTTCTGATAAACGGTTTGAAAATGTTTTTCCCATAAATTCTATATAAAGTCTCCCCCACTTTCGTACTTTTTGTTGCTTCGGTTCTTTGGAAAGTATTCTTTTTTCTTATTATCCATGTTCCAATATGGGATTCAACTAGCAAATTGCAGTGGCAAGGAAATAAAAGACGCGTCATAGTAAAATTTTCCCACGTTAATGTCGTAAATTTACTATCCAGCTTTATTAATACAGTCAGGAACAATGTCTTGCGTACTAAAACCCTTTTTTTCATATTAATAGATAGATACCTCTTCCAGTTTTCAATGCCTCTCAGTAAGCTAACGATACATTTGATTTTTCAAGATTCCAGTAATTAATCAGTTTTGTATCTGAACACGTCATCGGACTATTTATCTATCTATCTATCTTGTTTCTTCCTTTTCAGCCTGTGAGCAGTTGTCATACCTATAACGCCTATGATGTTAGGGCGTCTGATAGTATAAGTACAGCAGCGCCCATCAGCTCAACACACACATATAGCCAAAGATTGTCCTCTACGTTACAAGATAGTCGATCTTCATTTCATCGAAGTATGTTAGAATTGAGAAAGGTAAGAAGTTCTGATTTATTCTATATTTTAACACATGAATATTTGTCACTAGAAGCCTCAACCGAATTTATCCGAGGAAATAAAGCGCAATGCTAGGGATTTTGTGGCATGTTTCTCTTGTTCCGTTGGTGTAGACGAAGTTCATTTCTTTCCACCTGTATATATATGGAGGAAGTCGATCTATAGTGAAGAGTTCCATTCAATTGATTGTTCGACGATGATCCGTAGTGTCGAGACTTGATCTGTTCACGACTGATCCTTACTGGACCCAACCTGTTGATCTCGAAGTTGGGCATCTACTTAGTCTTTCATCCGGTTCAGCATCACTGTTGAAAATCTTTCGTGGTACTGACAGTAGTGTGATTCCTGTTTAGTTTTGATATTCGCTCATATCTCCTTTGTTTGGTATCTTGACGAGGTATTGTTCTTTCCAGTCTGTCGGTGGCACGTGTTCTCCCTCGCAAATCTTCTTTGATGGAACGTGGAGCATGTTTGTAGTTACTTCTATGCGTGACCTTAGTGCTTTGACTGGTATATTGTCGGGTGGTGCTGCTTTCCCACTGTTGATTTGTCTGATGGATATTCTGATTTGTTCGATCGTTGTTAGAATGAGATTGATAGGAAGATCTGTGTGTGTCGTTTCGACATGCAGTGGATTCGATGGAGCTGGTGTATTTAAGGGTTGCTCGAAATGTTCCACCCATCTGTTGATGTGTCATTGAATGTTGGTGATTGTCTTGTTTTCCTTGTGCTTGACCGGTCTCTCTGCTTTGTCTTATTTCCGTGTTGGTTTCTTCGTTGTGTTATAAAGTTGTTTGATATTTGGTTCTGTTGCAGCTTTTTCCGTTGTCGTCGCTAGGTCTTCCATATATTTGTGCTTGTCAGTTTTAGTGGTGTTGTTCACTTGGTTGTTTGCTTCTGTGTACTCAGCTTGTGTGTTGGCTTTCTCTGTTCTAATTCGGCTGTTGTTAATTGATATCTTCTTGTTCTTGCTTTCTTGAATCCTGCCATCGGTACCAATAGAGATCAGTAGCTTATGGTGATGCTTCTTTGGTCACAAAACCTCCGGATTGAATGGGTTTCCGTGATTCTGAGAACTGTCAAGTTGTATCTTCTCATTTCCATAGCTATTTTATTGGTCCTTTCGGTCTCCCACATTGTCTGAACATTCGATATACGTATATCGATTGTTGCTGTGGTTGTTAGAAGAGGCATCGGTATTGTGACTTCTGAAGAATCTGGGCTTTCAACATGAGGCGTGGTAATTTTTCCTTGAAGTCGAAGGGCAGAGTTTAGTTGGTTTAAATTGTTTATTCTGGTTAGCGTCTTTCCTAGCAAGTTTGTTTTCTATGGGATGTGGTTTCTGACTCCATGTACCCTAAAATAGCTATATGCAGAGTTATTACAAACACTATCAACATGCTAGCCGAATTATAAGAACATTTCAACTGTTCCCATCGAATACTCCCAATAAGTACGTACAGGCGTAGTGTGCTGTTAGTGTCAAAGATTTGTTTTACAATTGAAGGCACGTGTGAACACCATATTTATAAACACTTGTTGATCAACGGTTAATTAAGATTTACGTCATATGTTTATTGTTTGACTAGAAAAAAATCTCATCTACACATTGAAGAGTTACGACTATAAATAGTCACATTTTATCTACATCGTTCTCTACAACTGAATAATATCATTATACAGTAAACGTTCTTTAAGTATTTCATCTAAGACATTATTCACTATGCTGTAGACAAAATTATACTCTTTTAAATCTGCATTATATAGTTCTGATACATATTTTATTACTATATTACTATTATTAGTCACTTAATTGTAAATAAATAATAAATAAATGAATAAAAACGATTAAACAATTAAAATTCTTTCAATGTTTGAGATCGTGAGTCAATTGAAACTAGACCACCATGGAAAACGTGGAAGTACTGGACGGCCGTTTCGTCCTATTGTGGGACTCTTCAGCAGTGTGCATCCACGATCTCGCCCCTCCCCCCACGAGATTCGAACGTAGGACCTATCAGTCTCTCGCGGGCGCAAGCGCTTAACCACTAGACCCCATTGAACCGGCATCCAACGGTGTTAATTTCTAACTTCAACTAATTCTATACCAACTTGTATCAATGGTGTAATGAAAACTTATTTGTAAATACTATTTTTCCTTTATCAAGTAATTTACTTGTCCAAATTTTAGTTTTATTTTATTTATCCCCATAGTGATTTATATTGTATTATTTGTATTCTATATGTACTAAACAATTTGATTATGACTATCATCATATTTTTCTATTCTTAAAAAAAAGGGTATGAATATTATATGACTCATTATATGTGCTATATACAATTGTATGTATCATAATCATTTGTCTAAAAATGAACTATTTCATATATATCCTTTACTATATATGTGTCTGTCTATACATTCTTCATTAGAATAAATAGTCCCAAAATTAGAACAATCGTAAACTTACTATTGAATGTAACAACTATTTTACATTTCTCTAATTAATATTTCATCAGTTTCTTTTTTTTGTGTGTGTGTGCGTGTGTGTCCATGATTTTCTCTACTAGTTTGCTTTTATGTTACCCCTATATCGTTTCGATATTGTTTGGGTTTATTTTATTGTTGAAGATCTACTAGTTGAATAAAGTTATTTATCCTCTTATCGCTATAGCAAACGAAAATTGTACATATATGTATATTGACAATGCTGACTAGTGTTTGGGATAGTTGGAAGTAAGTTAGGAGCGGCCTAATCAAAACTTACCATCAGTCCTTGAATTCACTAACTTCTAGTCTGAGCCATGTTAGTAGATTTTTATTTATTTATTTGAACACATAGATATTGGTACAAGGAGGCACCAAATACATATGCGACACATAAATCATTCGATTTGTATGAGGGCTGTGATACTGCCCAAACCGAAGCAGGTGGTTTTCTTAGGAGGCCATATCCGGAGACTTCGATCTGAAGGTCTGACCCATATGGCAGTGGAGCATCGTTAGGAGATTCAGTCCCATGGTAGCCGGTGACCAACGATTGGTTCATACGTCATTTGTTCCTTCAGGATACTGGAGCCCATGTGCACCATTGGTTTGGAATCCGGTTAAAGCACCGAACATTCGCTTTTCGTCTTCTCAATTTCGCAAACAACACCCGCACCACGAGAAGGCAGTGAGTAGGACTTCCCTGGCAGAGGCTGTATACTCGTGGCCGTGTGAGAGGATTTCGAGAGAGAGGGCGGGCCCATCCCACTCTCGGCCATACCAGAGCATTTGGGGGCTACTTGGTTCGGATCCGTGTGACTAACGTAACCAATGGTTGAAGACTGTGGGTGACATGGCTCAGAATTGATCACAATGACGTAGGTGTATACACCCTCTGTCTTCCCTTAAACTATGAGATTAAAATCGTTTCATATCTTTCTACGAACTAATTGTTTCTTTCTGTACTATATCCTTATATGCAATCTTTCTTTTATATATTACCACTACTGAATTAAGTAATTTATGAATTCGGTGTTCATCTTGTTGTGTTAATGAGGTATGGCAAACTGGACCGATGCACCTACATTGTAGTTGACTGACTGACTGACTGATATGTATATAGATGTAGTCCAAGTCTTATTGACTATTATGAAATTTCTTTTTTGCTTTTCTCTACTACAGTCGATTTTAGCATATGTTTTCAGTTTCATGTTTGAATGGTATGTAAGTAGTATTTATTCTCATTTTATAATTATGGCAATTGACAACCTTCCTGTGACAAAATGTCACTATATTTAATGTTTAATGATTTTTTTCAAGTCCAACGTGATAACTGTGTTGAGAGCATGAGTATTGAGATATTTTGACTAGTGTCTACAAGCTCATCATTGAAATGATAGACGATTGTTCAAGTTGACTGACTTAAACTGATGCATATTCTAATCAATGTGAAATTTTGTGTATTTAGACTAGAGAGCCCCGTCTGATCATCTAGTGACCAATCATGCTACATCATGTAAATTATATATAAAGAGAAGGAAGTAGGGTGTCTAAAATTTCATATCTCAAAAAATTACGAGGGTTTTTATTGTTGGCTCTATAGGGGACTATAGGTTTATTGAATAAATGTGTGCGAACCATGAATTGATAAAAACCAGTTTGTGTGCCTGGCTTTAGATTCTTGTGTCATAGACACACTTCTAATCTAGGGTATTGATTAAGTTGTACTTGTTTATTCTGCGTTCTTTTTTTGTGAAGTTGCTGTTTATGATGTTTGAAAGTGTGACACTCCGATCTGATTCACCACTCTACTAAATTTGTGTAAAACATTTAATTTAATTGAAAAAGCCTCTCTATTATTCAAACCTGGTGTTTTCTCCATGTATATATGGTTCTCGAGCTGGATGGTTTAGCTACAAAGCTCTCATTGTCGTCCTAGTCATCACCAGCATTTTCATGGAATATTTACATACATGATTCGGTAAACTGTAGTGTCATATTTTGATACGGTTATTTCTACCAAAAAAACGTTCCGATAATTTTTGTCCATTGGGTTGATTTCAGTTCATTTTTATTTCACGATAGCGTAGATACATCAACTCCATTTTTCTCTCAATTTCGGGTCCCAATATCCCTTCATCCATACCTTTTCACCATCTTTCTAAACCATATTTTCAGTGCTTAGTCTTCGTCATTATCACTGCTACTAAATTCTTTCGATTTTGCTTCTGTTTATCCTGTCATTTTCGTCTCGTCATATTGTGGTCAAATAACTTAGGTTAGTGCTCGTCTGTGCCAACTTCTATGTTGATGATGACTGATTGATTAGCTAATTTCATAAGTCAAGCTATAAGTTAACACCACTATTATGCATGTATATCGCTCATTGATTTATTACACCAACCGAAAATAAATACCTCATGAATTCACGTCGTACTCTGCATCATCAGTTTTCATATGACCAAACTGAATTATAGTTTCTAGTATCTAATGCTACTGTGGTGTGTGCTACTTATGTTGACAGATATATAAGTAATATATGACGCCAATCAGAAGTGGAATGCCTGGCAGCAAAAGATTAAATCGAAAAGAACAGGAATGTATACAGAGAGCAATTTCAATGACAGCAGAATTAAAAGAATCATGAGGCATGTAAAGGACACCTGTAGGAAGATATGAAAATGATGTATGTGATATATAGTGTTCATATTTCATGAAAGTACTCTGTAATTTTGCATTAAACAATAAATTGGTTATCCCCACCTAGTCTTCATTCACTACACTACTATGTTTTATCTTTATGCGACTCGTTAAACAAGTTGAAGTTTGTGTGTTTGACTTTACTTTAGACGTTTTCCACTGAAAACTCGTGTGATAACTGACCAGCTTTCTATCTCGAAATAGATGAAGTGGGATTAGAACCTAGATAAAGTTAGATTACATATTCTTCTCATTGAAAATTAGTTTCATCTAAAACTGGTTGGTTATAAATATGTGATAAAAAGTGTTTCTTAATAGAGTCTTGTGTATGATTTTGTAAATAAAGATTTCTCATGTATGGCTTATCCATACGAATTCCATGGAATTTAATTTTTTACTACAGTTGTAGACTTTCTTTTTGTTAGAGTTGTGACTTATTAGTGCAGATAGGAATATTAATGTATCTTCAACTTTTCAGAATAATTAAATATCTAATAATTCACCCATTAATATGTAAATCAACATTCTTTTTACTGCTGTTGAGTTTTATATGCTTGGGACATTGTTTAAGTATGTTTTAGACCGAAAATATTTTTTAATTTTGTTCATTTAACAGATGGGCTGGTATTGGGGTCCACTAAGTTTCCAAGATGCTCAATTTTTACTGGCTAAACGACCAGACGGTAGCTTTTTAGTTCGTGATAGTGGTCATGACACACACATTTTAAGTTTAAGTTTTCGTGTACGTGGTGAAACTTATCATACAAGAATCGAGCATAATCAAGGTAGGTTTCCTGTTTTTTACTGATTTCAGTTATTCTGTTTATTCATATTTATATTTCATATGTATTATGATCATAGGTCACATTCTATAAACTATAAGGAATTACTGTTAAATAATACTGTGACTTGAATAAAGCTCTATTTATTAAAGGAAACTTATGTGTTAATTTTGATTTTAATAACTTTTCAGTCATAAGCTTTCTATTTCCTCGTCTGTGTACAGTGAGTGAATGTTTAGAAACAGAACGCTCATTCATTATACAAAATCATTTCGTACCGCTTTATTTCTTTCCTATAACAATAAAGCACAGTATTCGAGATGATGAAACATACATTTGGTGATAATATTTAGTCGTAGATATTTTCGACGCATTTCTGGTGCACAGTGGATTAATATTTAAAGTCAGGTGTAAAATACTAGTTGGAAACGAAAAATCAATCGATAAGGCTATAGACTTTCACCAACTGAAAGATGTTTAAGCAATGACTTATAAACGCGCCTAGATAGTTCTTATCATTCGATTGTTCTTACTAACACATAAGCAGAATGATAACGTAGTAATGATGATATTAACCTATACAGTCATTGATCATTGCACCAAGCCATGTCACAATATAATT